GGGCATCACGTTAGTTATCCCTTGAGCGGCACAATTTATTTTGTTTTTTATTGTTCTGGCCTTATGATAAAAATGCCGACAAATTTTTATAGACGACTTTGAATTGAGATCCGAAAATGTGTTATATTCCTTTCCCGATAAGCTTTGCAATGGTATATCTTGTGCAGGGACGGATTTTTTTTTTTGGGGGGGTGGGGGGGTAATAAAAATGCCGACAAATTGTTATAGACCACTTTGAATTGAGATCCGAAAATGTGTTATATTCCTTTCCCGATAAGCTTTGCAATGGTATATCTTGTGCAGGGACGGATTTTTTTTTTTGGGGCCCAAAAAAAATTTTTTTACTCGGGAAAAAAAAAAATCCATGTGTAATTTTTTTTTTTTTTTGGGGGGGGGGGGCCCCCCCCCCCCCCCCCCCGCCAAAAAATTTTTTTACTCGGGAAAAAAAAAAATCCATGTGTAATTTTTTTTTTTTTTTTACGTATTAGCACTTCCTGTAGTCCGATCCTGAATCCGTCCCTGATCTTGTGTCTTCTGGAGATTTTTACATCAAACTTAGTACTCTAATTTCGCACATTTAGCTCATTTCTTTGCTCCTTTCTTTTTCTGTTTTGTTCCAATGTGATTTAAGCTTGCTTTTCTGGTCTTTTTTCATAAATTTCATAATGATGTCTCAAAGCTCGGGGTTCATCCTAAAGAAACAAAAATAACTAAAGATTTCACAATTCAATTAATTTATAAATTTTCTTATAATATGTTCGAATATATGTGTATATTCTATTTGTTTGCCTTCTTGTACATTTTTCCATTCATTCATTAAGATATATACAATTAACAAATTCAATGGACCCATAACGTATAAAGCAAATCATACTTATGGAACAAGTTGTTTGGATTAAGTGCTTCTAAAGTCTCTTAGATTTCCCCAAAAATGCCTTCGTAAAAAGTTTTAAAATATAAAATTTACATAGTTTATTTTTACTTATTTGCAATTAATTAAAGAGTTGTGCTACATATACATCAAATCCATTACATAATGGATTACACCCCCTCACATGGAGGGGGGTCCACGAATATTTTATTGTGTGTGGGCCCCCCTCTATGTGAGTGGGTGTAATCCATAATGTAATGGATTGTATACATATAGACTAAGGGAAGATTAAATATTCAAGAGAATAAATTTAGCTTATTTCAAAAATAAGAAAACAAGTTTGAAATTTCCAAAATCAGTTTTTTATTAAAAATTTTTAAATTTTTATTTATGAAATAAATTAATTTATCATTAAATATTTAATTATAATATAATTAAC